TTTTGGTCCCCCCCCCCCCCCCCCGCCAATTCGTCCATTAATGATACTAGAATTCAAGAATACATTTTTACATTGAAATACGTATATATCGCTTTCGCACGATACGTGCTACTCGTCGTGAACTCTAATCGCGATTATTTCAGAAGCACGTTTTACTATCGAACAGCATAGATACTGATTATCGAGCTACTCCCGGGAATCAGTGGCCTCGAAAAGACACGCTGTCAAGCAAGTTCAAGGTTGCGAAAAACGTGACTGTTATCTATGAAAAATTGAAAAAGAAAAAGAAAAAGCTTATAACACACTACCAGAAGAAAAAAAGAAACCCGTGATCCTGTCAGACTTGCATATTAAAACCAGGTCAGAAAAATTCATCCACGTGCCGATAAAGCAGTCCAGCACATATTACTCGCGCCTACGTAATATCGTTAATCGTCGTCTGCTCGATCTACAAGTACATTGAGTAACGTTCGAGCGATAATTTAATCCACGAATCCAATATGGAATCCGAAGGAGTAAATTTACTTACCGAAAATACAATACAACAAAGTTTTGTCATTCCATCCATACGTTACGTATTGAAAGCACATATGTCATTATTTATAGTCGTTAGCAGCCGCTGTGGAATTCTTAGTAGGCATGACGTACGTATATAGATACGTGACCATTCGAAAATAGATTTTCGAGGTTACGTTTAACTTTTCTCGAATTTTCCTTTGCGACCTTGACACACGATAAACCCTCGTAGCTTTCACCGCGTCTGCGAATCATAACAGATACACGTGGCTTAGATAAGAATGATTTCGATCGCGCGATAACAGTACGGTGTAAATTTTCAAATAAGATAATCTATCGGCTCGCCAATCCTATCTGTCACTGTTCCTTTGTATCGCACGGTAATGGACTTGACTGTTTTATCATTCGTTAAAGTACCCGTCCATTAGACGCGTGTTACGAATACGTTCTAAGAAACCGGATATCGAGAATAAATAAACGGATACGGGGTGGGCAATAATTTACGAGTAAACTCACGATTACTCGATGAAACGTGTGTACGAGCCTTAAAGCCGTAAAGCGTCTCGGCTCTGTGTACCTACGTGCGTCTAAAGAATCTACGTCAAAAGACCGACGAAGGACGTTTCAATATGCATGCGTCGCGACGGGCGTCGTCGTATAGGTCCCGTAAAAAAAAGGCGATCCTTCGATTCGATGAAATTGTGCACCCGCCTTAATCCCCCCGCTTCGGGCAGAGATTGACAGGGGCGGAAGGTTAGGGCGCTACTCGAGCCCTGTACCAGGGGAGGATTTCGAATCGAGGCGTCTTGACGGGGTGGGAATGATAAATTAACAAATGCAAAATGGCGGACGATGACGTTGATAAGAAAGATCGAGAAACTCGAAGGGCGATCGAATAGCCGAAATCAGCCTTTGATAAGGAGCATTAGGGGCTTCCAAGTATATCCCTCGTAAAGGCTGTCTCACGTGTGAGCGATATACACGTATAGGCCGCGTCTTAGACGAAAGGCTGTCAATTTGGCTTGACTCAATGAACAGTCAAGGACGCGGACCTCGTTTGAATATGAATTGCGTCAATTAGACTCACCTTTATTCGCGACGCGTCTGTTTGTTAGCTGATTGGCCAGGATTATAGGCAAGTCGCCGCACTTTGTGGCTGAAGCTTAAATCTCTGACAAGGTCGTCCCTTTTCCCCTGCGCCAAGTACCAAGTACTGATATAAATGCTGGGAGTCCTTGCGAGGCAGGAAATTGTCTACGTAAACGACCGTCCTGTCTCTGCGTACCTCGTGGCCGTACCCATTGAGAGGAATATTGGGGATGAAGAGAAAAAGGAAGGAAAGGAAAAGAAAAGAAGGAAAATCCCGCACCGTTCACGAGAACAAAGTTAAGCTACAAGGAAGAGAATTTGCAAGGCCGCCGAAGGACACGAGCCATCGGCAGTGAAAGGATAGCGGTACAACGAATGCGTCACAACGTGATCTTTCTCATCCTCCCCGAAGGACCTCGGTGTGCTAAGCAAGGCCAAGAGAAAGATCAGTTTCCGACTTCTTGCCAGTCTAGCTGAACTCGAGCCCAGGGTCAACCATAACCTTCTCCAAGGCAAAGCCTCCGAGTCTTAATCTGTCATTGCAACGATCCATTAAGAATTTTTCAAGGAGATGACTATCTTTATCTCACGCGAACCAATCGCATTGGAAATGACATTCTCTGGCTGAACGAACGTTACATTAATTTATAATAATGCAGGAGGGCCCTAATAGAAATCCTGTAGGCGTCGCTGCGGTACGCGTTTAACTATGTGTTTATAATATATATATATATATATATATATATATATAGTCACATCCGTGTAGCGAACCCAGGGAATATTTATGCGAATGCACAATCGCGATTACGTAAGGACGAGTAGAACTGGAATAGCGGGAACTGGTCTCTCGCCAATAATTGCTACGTCTTAATCGAGCTACCGCGTGACCTTCCTCGGGTGAGGGTGTCGGGACAAGAATGACTTATCTCCTGTCACGTGCCCAATTAACAGTTACGGTATACAAATTTGTGGGATCGAAGTAAACATTTTTTTCGATAACAAATAAACCACCACCAACAACAGCATGCCCGTAACATATACTATCTAGGTCGATAAGTGTATAGTTTTAAACGAGACTGTCATACGAAATATATTTGAAAACTTTTCAAAGCCATCGCCCACAGCGTGATTCTCTTAAGGAGTCTCCAAGATGGATTGGACTTATTATTTTTCGATAGAATTACTTATCCTACTACGCAACGTTATCGCACCTGACATGCCACGTTGAAATATTACACCTCCTGGTAGAAGTTGCACCTATAGAATTTTTTAAGGTAGCCTCAACGTGGAACCCAATTTCTCATCGGCCCATGTCAGCAGCTACTGATCTTGCATTAAAAGTGCTTACCGGTTCTCGTAGGTAGATCAGAGCTAAGGCAGCTTGAAAAAATGAAAGACGAATCAACTTGATCCTGCAAGGTGAGAACGTTACGAAAATCGACTAGGGCTAGGAATATTATTATTTCCCTACTCGATAGTCAAGCGCCATTGCCATGAAAGGTCGTAGCCGAACAAGCCAAGAGAAACTGGGCCAAGCTGATGCTCTTCCTGAAATACAATTTAATCCCAAGGTCTCGGAAGTTGGTAATGGCCTCTCTTCCTACGAGACATTCCCAACCAGTGGGGTCACGGCTGTACGTGCGATTTACATTATAAACTCTGACTCCGAGTGCCGTCCCGGTACACACAGGATGGGTGTGGGACATAGGATGGAGCAATGGCGTAGTTGACCATGACTCCATATTTATGTTTCCCCCATGGAATAAAGACAATTACACATCACGAGACGAGAGAGCACCGTTCCCTTTGTTCTCGTCAATCCACTACGTAAATGATTCCACCTACTTCTAACCTAACGTATAACCGGATATACGTAGTTTCACAAGCCAACTACCAAAACGCACTTTCTCCAAAGAATCTCATCGGTACAGACACACATCCGTTCGACGTACAACGACATAACAGCGATTTGATTATAGCTATAAGAATTACAAATCTTACTCCTATTGCTACTTCCACGATCCTCGCATTCCCTCTTTTCGTTATCCCGCTATACTTTCTCTTGGTTGCATTAGCCAAGCGAGTTATCGTTAAAAATCCAGTTAAACGCCTAATGCGTTCCTTTGACGTAATCAACTAGGAAACGCTTGCGCGTCGTAAACCTTGGACATCGTCCTTGACTCATGTAGGAAGTATACATGTAACGTATGGACACGCTCGATACGATGTGCTCACACGAAATCGCCCAGCGTACTTTCACGTGTATATCAGAAAATATATATATAAACAATTCATATAGACTCTATTCGTCCACATATCCCCATACACGCACGCACGTACGAAAGATTGTATTATCTGCACGGCGTTCGGATAGCACGCAGCTTGCATAGAGAACAGATCGGAAATAGATTTAATGGATCGATCGTCATACTTCGGTAAACGTTACGGCATTTCAGGCCACAGCAGTCACGTACGGTATAAGAGACTCCGTGTTTCCAAAAATAAACTAATCGAACGCTTCGAACATTGCCCGGTATACTTGCAGATAAGTTAAACACGTGGGTTCGATGAGTATTAAGAATGGACGTTTACAAATGGCAAAAGAAAAAGTTATACAAATATTTCATACAAATTCCATAAGACGATTTCCCCTACTCCCATCGCATTCCAATTACCGTGCTCTTAATGTATACGAAAGAGTGCACTTTTCCTGTTCCTAACCGAGGCAAATGCCCTGATACGTACACCTTATAAACTCGTGTTCCAAGTATAATAGTAAATCTTGAAGTGTTCAATAGGATGGCGTCCAAGTGGAGAGAGTGGCCTCTCCTAGGAGCGGTGCCGTGGGTGTCGTCCCATTTACCCACTTAGACAGCCAGTGTGCTCATCATTGCCTGAAAGGAAAACAATGCTCATCAACTGACATAGCAAATGGTTCACGCCTCGTTCGGTTTTCCTTACTGTAAAGCGATCGAGGGACAGATGATAATGATGATGATAATGGCTGGGACAGCGAGCATAATAATAATAGCGAAGAGGCAAACTAAGGTTCAAGTATAAAGACACTGATTCATCTTACCAAGACTGGTACGAAGTAAATGATGACGTTTCGTGCGTGCATGGGTAATGGGAGCTTAACGAGGATGATTCAGCTTCCCAAGAGATGTAACCAGTGGCACCGACGACTGTCCGTTAGCGTCATCGAAGTTTTCCAATACGAGCAGCATCTTCGTGCACGATCAATCAAGACCCGGGGCTGATCTAGAGACAGGTTCCTTAGTCGCATCTAATTGCAAGCAAATACACGGCAATTGGAATTAGCCTGGGTAACCTAGACTATACTTTCTGGCACGTCTTCGAAGGCTCTCCGGCTCTATCTAGAGACCTTGTTATAACAGGAATACCAGAATACACGTTAGGACCACTCGAGACGACGCATCATTCAGCAGAATTTTAGGGTCGCGACCCAATTCAACGCCCTAGACTCGAACCACAGCTGAAGGCAGGAAGGCTACGCAAGACGCGTCCCTGACACGATAAAGACTTAGATTGGACCTCGCGCCGTTTGATTATCCGTTACCAGGGAAGCGGCTGTAACGGCGATATGAAATGGCTGGTTTTTTTAAGAGAAATTTGTTTTTCTCTCTCTTTCGTCCCCGACCTTTGTGCAACACGGACGTCGATCGAGCGTGTTACATAAAGCGACGTACCTTGGTCCTTGGTATCTTCCGTGTACGCGTACGCTGTAATATTCTTGTCTAATTAATCAATCGTAAGCGGCAGGTTTTGAGCCGTGCCATTAAAGTTTCTGGCAGAGGCCAACGGGGCCGCCGCCTCGTTTCCTACATTTTTATTATGGCAAACGGGCCGAAGACTCCGGGACTCGAGAGAACGTGGCCCTCGCGTGCCTCCTCGCGCCGTACTTCGTCGTACCGAACCCGAGCGAGAGTCGCTTTACGACTTTATGCATTTATGATTATTGACGAGACTTTCGGTACGAAGCAATTGGTAATACGAGTTGAGTTCTTGCCGGAATTTATTGTACCGAGACGCACGACCGTTACGTTGCGCGTGCCTAAGATTGCGCGACCTTCCTGCGTTATTACTTATTGCTGCAACCATTTGAGCTTCGGGTTTCTTTTTCATTTCCACAGCGAAAAATAGCTACGGAAAGATTTCGAAATTTCTCTGGACTGCCTTGAATTTCTCAATGCACAGCCGACAGTATTACGGTAACGTTCACTTGAGAGATCTTAAAAGACATATACGTAGAGCGCTAAGAATTTAAAAAAAATTCATTTCCATATTTCGATACGCAAGAAGATGATTTCGAGGCACATTCTTTTTTCGAGAGATTCAAATAGAAAGTCCTCCGAGAAAAGATCGCAAGACGATCGTGCCTCTCCGAGTCCCGAAGACAAGAGTCATGACTCAGGTCAGAGGTTTCAGAAAGTTCATCGAGTTCAACAGAGAGAGAAAGTCCCCTGCACGTAGAGCGCTTGACCCAGAATCCTAATTTTTTTCTATCCACCCTCGTCGCTCCTTCCTCCTTTCGATCTTCCTTTCCTCGAGGCTCGAAGCCGTCGAGCGTGCACGTCTAACTATCCTCCAGGGAAAGTTATTCGGCGGGGAAAGTGAAAGCCGTTCGGCGCGAGATCATCGATCTCGGTTACCGAAAAATGATATCAGGAATGCCAGGACGTATTTTAATAGTACCGGTTACGCCAGGAGATACCGGTTTACCCCGCGTTCGCTGATCGGTACCAGCAGATCTCGCGCCTACTTATCGTCCGGTATCGCGCGTACCCACCCACGCAACAACAATGCTCCAAATCGCTACCGTGCTCCAGTCAAGAGTAAAAGTTTACGGCAAGCGATTGCCATTGCTGGTGATCTTAATCCGGCTCCCAGAGACTCCCATAACTTTACAGCTCGTGCAAGATCGGGTCACGTGCTGTGGATCACTTTCGTAAAAGAGTGACAAAGTACAAGTACAAAGTGGAACATGGCCGACGGCCCAATGACCCGCTGACCTACATTCCCTTCGAGGAGTCTTCCGACGAAAGTGAAAAGAATCGGCCTTTACGGCGCAGCCAGTTTTACGACTGTACAGCAAATAAGCCCAATAGCCATCGATTCTTTTGACACACGTTGTATGCGTCCTGGGTGTCCAGTACTTTTTCACCATAACTCCAGGCTATTTTGAGCAGCGTGAAGTATGCCAAAAGTATCCCCTCCCGTAAAATCCTCGTCTTCCTGAGACCTCTCGAGATCCCAACAAAGTTAAGCCATTTAATACATCTTGTAAGTTAATGTTGCAGATTGTTAGCGGCATCTGTCCCTCTATAAATCCCTGGGCGATTAGAATAAATTTTGGCGAATGCACAATTTCGCATGGTATAAATAAAGCTATAAATAATTTTCAAACTGTATCCGCTTCTCTTGTGCTACGTAATATAATATAAAGTTTAACGAAAGCCGATGTTTCCGTCTGCATAATAAAAGTCTATCGATCGAACGATGTCAAGGAAAAAGATAGACAAACATAACGGCACATTTGAAGCTATCCAGCTTACTCGGACCCATCGAAGGGAGCGCGTAAGATAAGAGGGGTCAATGGCTCGCACGTGAAGCGAGTCGTCCTGCCGCTGAATGGAAAGAAAAGAAATGAAGAAATTTCCGGAAAAACGACTGGGAAACCGTAGTCCTTCGAGTCGAAAGGACGAACCGTGAAATCCCGGGTATTCCACGATTCCGTAAACGGAAGCCACAATCTTTCCTTGAAATATTACAATGGAAGCGCATGCGGTGAAAACAGAAATTTTTCCTTGGGCAATTACGTCGTCCTTGGAGGTTCATGAGTTTCGTAAATACCGTCCCAAAAGATACCCCCGCCGGCTCGACTTTCACCGTCTTACACAGAAATTCACTAGGCACTCGAGTTCATCTCTAACCGGATTTACGTCGTATCCCAGTAAAGACATCCCCATAAGACGACAATGCGAGTACATCAAAAGTCTCTTTGGAGAAACTTGTGATCCTTATAAAAAAAAAAAAATCCTTCGAAAGATCCCTGAAAGCTCCAAAAGCATATTCAACCAATTATCCATTGGCTCCAGGAGTATCGAGAGCGCCCGTGAATAAAGCTGAAATAAAAAAAAATTGACAAAGCATAGTAAAAAACAAAAACCAGATAAATTAATCACCGCAATAAACTCCTCCGTCTCGACGGCTGATCTCCACATCCTATTGCACGACTAACTGTAAAAAGACAAAGCAAACCTCATCGATCCGCCATAGCAGCACACGCGAGTGCAAGTAGGCAAGAACAATAAGAAAAGCATGCAGAGACGGAGGCGATGTGAATTGCGGAACTGGAGGAAGGTCGTTGTAACCTCGACTGACGATAAACAACGATACCAAACGAAGTCAATGCTAATCTCACCTCGTGACCCTTGACCCGACAGACCTCTTACAGACTTGTCCAGCTCTACCTAGCCGCGCTCATACCAACGGAAGGGAGCCGCGCGTATATAAAAAACATATCAATTCCTCTCCAGGCAACCATAACGAGCCTCCTGGTGAAGAAGACGCGTGCTGAATGACGTCGCGGCGCACGAAAGAAAACTATTAATAACACCTAAATGAGAAGCCGACCTTGGATGCAAGGAGAGCTCGACGTCGGAACCAGGAAGCAAAACAGCTTAATGGATTATTAGCGACACATCCATCAGCTATTTTAACGATCGGCCACGACCGCACCCTTATATCGTATCGCATTGACTCTTTCGCTTTGCCCAAAGGTGACTGCTTGCGCGTTTGGCTCTGGTCGCCATGTTGCTCCGCGAAACGATAAGCAGCAGCACTGGCTTCTGTTCTATCGCTTGTCCCCTTCTACCGTGCGTACCTACGATACGCCAGCACACGTATACGCGGCGAAGGACACGAGTCGTCCTTCTGTACTTTTCAAGGTCCTCGACGCGTAACGGCTTGCGCTCCCTTGTTGTCGCGCGAAACGTCACTCGCGAATATAATCCATTGTGCAACTCCTTACGCCGACCTTACTGCGACCTCAAAGTACCGCATGACTTTGTGTAAAGTCTGCGGCCGTGTCTGCTATACCTATGCAGGCATTATGCAATATCTTGGCAGAGATGTCTCGACAACGGTATACAGACTTCAGCAGGACACGGTAAATGTCTCGAGTGACATCTTCATTGCAGGAAATGCTCCAAATTTGTAATTCAGGTTAAACGTCTCCTCGGCTTGATAGGTCAATGGTATCCGATGCCTGGGATCCTGGACTCGGTGGACCTGTCGACAGAGGAATCGCTAGAGATAGTACTCTGTGAAGTTTATAGTGAAAAGGAAAAAAAGGACTCCGAAGGTTCAACGGCCCAGGAGAATATTGCGTATCTTAAATAACCGTAAGGTCATAAAGGTATAAGTACTGTTACGCAACATGGCGGGGCCTGTTAATGACCCAACAGTTCATCCGACGATAATCTCTTCATGACCGTATTGGAAAAACACGATGCTTCAACCTTCCGCCAGAGAATGGTGGTCGCTTGTTAGTCCATCTTCCTTTCGGTCGTCATTCATCCACCAGTCACCCACTATTTGCAATGGCCTCCTTTTTGATTTACGAGCAGTGAAACCGTTACGACCCAAGTATAATTCGAGCGAGTTCCGATTTTATGGTCGTACCGAAATTTCGTAATTTCTCAGGACAACAAGAGGCCCTCTACTTCTGGCTGCTGCTTGATTTACAATAGTACCACCATTTTATGTTATTCGGTGACGTTGCTTCATCTTGTTTCAAGCCGTATCGCACCCATCCTCATTACAGTTCAGTTTGCGGAAGAAAATTCGCAGGCTCTTTGTGCCGGTCTCGAGCTTAGACCTTGTTCCCTTCCTGTTTCGGTGAACGTGCGAATATTTACATCGAGTAATGACACTGAAATTTCACAGGAAATTATATAGTTGAAAGCATGACAGTGGCGGAGGAGCTGAAATTATTATGCGTGGAAAAAGTTAAAAATTCGACAAATATTTGCATTATCCTTGGCAGATTGGCCATCAGGATTTACGAGGGTTGCTCATAAAAATGAGGGAAAGTAATAAAGTGAAGTAACGAGGAAAAATAAGAATGGGCTCCACGTGGCCTTTCTTCCTTTTTTTTTTTTCATTTGTTATGTACCTACATAAGCAGGTTCACGTTTTATCGGTGGAAAAGTCACTTGCTACAGTCGTGTGGTGGTATATGTGAGCAATTGAATGCGGAAAAATTCTTGACAAGGTCATTGGTATCAAGGCCAATAGTATATAACGTCCACATACGAATACAGTCACGATACTGCCGCACCTGACTTACATTTCAATTTTTGTTACCTATCGCACTTGTGTTTGCAGGAATTACATTATTTTACTTCAAATATTGTCGATTGTGAAATTCGCAATGCCAAATCTTTATGCATCTATATTTCAGCATATTTTTCACTCCCTGATAGATTTGCAAGAAATAAAAAAATTGTAATTCTTCTATCGGAATGTAATTTGCTCATATAGTACGTATTGCAATGACTCGCATTAATTTATGGAGGTCATTATGAGAATTATACAAAAAAAAAACAAATAATTCTAGCATTTACTTACCTGCAGTGCTGAATAAGTGGATGTAATGTATTAGTCGTTTTTCGTAACAAAAAACATGGAAATTCGCAAATAGGTATCGCGTTGTCCATAATGTATGTCGATGTAGGAATCCATAAAAATAGTAGATAGGATAAATTATCCTTATGATAAACCATAACGAACATAACACAACAGCTTGTATCGTTATACGAGAATTGTGCGAAAAACAATGATGGTGCAACAAAAAACTTATGTCTTCCCATTTTCCAAGAAGCTCCAAAACCGTTACGTTTTAACGATAATCAAAATCAACTGAACTGTTTCCTGCTATACCTTATTACGCAATGAGGTAATAGAATAAATGTGACTCACGTTTTTCTGAAGAACACAAATTCAGAAGCAATAAACACTGTTACGTTACCTGGAAGAATAACACAATTAACAGTAGTCCTCATAAGAGACTGTATGGAACTGCCATTGTCAATAAGCCTGAGATAAATTTGCAAATATTTCACCTCAGCATTATTTTCCCGAGTTAACATATTCTCAGCACCTTCACTCATCCTCAGGGATTCACTATTACACCAAATTTTTAGTATTTACAGAAAAATTAATGCAAACTTTAAAAACTGTAACGACAATGTTCGCAACTGACAAGCTCCGGCTTGTCGCCCGACGCCATTGCCCTTCTTGAGGCAGCCAACCGCGGCCTGTGCATTTCTTAAGGCCCATTTCAATGTATCGCAATAATGTACGAAAAAGAGGAAAAGGACTTCACAGAAAAACGCATTGATTTAATATTTAAATAATGCTTTAACTTATTCATCCTAAATATTTAAATATAAAACCAAAATGCAATTTATATTGTATACGTAAATCGAATTGAAGGAAACCTTTTTGTTCGATTATCGAGACTCTAGAGAGTTTTATAGTCCCGGACGTAAAATGGAAATTATCGAAGCGCTCTGTTATCTCGCACGTCCACCTTAGGATCTATGGGGAATCGTATAATCCGAACAGCTTAAAATGGGTCGATAAATCAATAACGTATTTTATTAATCTTTTCACAATAATCTCACACGCATGCATGCAACTAAATACTTTCAATGAGTTTCAATAAACTTATCATAAGAGCAGACAACTCAGAAGATAGCGGTTGAGTTAACCGAGTAGAGAATAATCATAAAGGCCTTTATGGACTGGAAGAAGAAGGGTACGTTAAGAACTTTTTCCCTTAAAAAGTCCCGTGTGTATCTAGCTTGTGATTTCAGGTCGATAGACATGACGCAAGCAGATCGTGAAGAGATGAAGTTCAAGGTTGACTCGGCTGAGTGCGCGCTACGCCAGCGGCAGAGGTGATGGAAATCGTGACAGCGACCCACGCTAGAGTGAAAAATACATAGGAAGATGGAGGAAAAACAGGGTAAAAGAGGTTAGTTAGGGGAAATGGATTTATACCCTTCTTTCTCTCCCTGTTTTTTCTTCTATTTTTTTTTTCCAGAACGTGAGTGGGTTGGAGAATCTCGAGGGCGAAGTTAATGTCCTTAAGGGAATGAGAGCTTTTTTGGATTTTCGTTCCAAAGATTCGAATGGAAGGGGCAAGGTGAGTTTACCCAAAAATTACAGAAGTAACCAAGAGGCATGTCAACCAAATTCATCACCGTAAAATCTATTTGTTTCTAATAATAGTGAATATTCAATTACTATAACACTACAGACATGCTCTACATAACATCCAGCATTCACAAAGTGTCCATAAGACATCCGGACGACCACAGGGTACAAATAGTACATCCGTAGGATGTTTTTACTGCATGGAATATAATGTATCATCCGAAGTATTTCGCAATAACGCATGACTTATGATAGTGACATCATTATCGAATGATCTCGTATAATTACCTTTCATGCGCAAAGAACTCCGTATGTAGCACTTCCGTAAAGATTTGCTAATTACCCATAAACAGGTATGTTAATCTCATACAGGACAAGTCGCAATCTCGATCGGTAGATTATTTTTCTTTAAAACTATCCTACCGATGTGCTTTTCTATGTGAAACGTATCATAATAGTTTATCGCGAATGTCAAGCATAGGCAGTTTGCATGGATCTCCATAGTTTTCTCATAAGAGCGTGCTATCAATCTCGAGATATTTCCTTTACAATTCACACGACAGGCGATACCGTTCTCGATTCACCACGAGCGACCGTTACTTTGGCCTTGGGATTTTCTAGATCAGTACAACGTCACCTCAATAACCAGGGTATAACAGTCGCGATGCGCAAATAACCTATAAATATTATTGACATACTAAAAACTTATTTCACATACGAAGCATATAATATCTACACACGTTAACATAAATATATATTGTATATTTAACAAGTTCTTTCCCTTTACAGTCAATTGTATAAGTCAAATCCGATTACTGATGACATCAAGGAGATTGGGAATCACATCAGGGCACATCAGAGCTGACTGTGAGTGTGGTAGATACGTGTATGTACATACAGATAGGAGTGGAATTCCGTGATTCATGAAACTACGAATCACTGTGGACTTTTTTATATCTCTATTCTGGCTTTTAGGGAGAAACGGGTAGTATTTGGGTTGGCGTGCCCGGACACGGCCCGGACGGTATGGCCTTGAACTTGACCTCGGCCCTGAGCTCACCAACTAAACTAACCTCTACAGATACAACGTATCCCGTACCAGCTCGACACTCGTTAAAGTTGGTTGCGAATGTCGAGAACCCAGCGGCATCCGCGATACGTACCAACAGTCGCCAATAAGAAACATATCCTCGACCTAACATCCGCTCTAGGTCACAACCTCAGCTTGCAGCTGGCTCTGCCAACCGATTTACTGACCTAGTGCAAGACACGCTATGAGAATCTTGTCGAGCGGTAACGTATAAGTTTTTAATAAATTTTCAAGTAATCCAAAAAGATTTTCTTTACAGTATGTCCCAAGGATCCCTTATATGGAGGAAATAAAACTACAAGGATTTCCATCCGACGTCAAGATCCTAGATTTTACTCTAGGTCTCTATATATTCTGCTACATTATATAATGGTATAGTACATGGCTATAAACATCGCTAAAGCCAGTGCGAGGGCGTTGGAAATTCTGCGCAGTGGCGAATACGACCCAATTTGACGAAGGTGCACTTTGTTTCAGGCGAATCCTTAGGTCGACCTCGACGTGACCCTTGGACCTTGGGATATATACATAAACGTAACCCCCTCGAGCAAGTTCTCTCTTGGCTGACATCGATGTATAACGTGGAGTTGCCCGTGACCGCCAAAGACCTTGGCCATGGCTCGTAGTGTACGAGCTGAGGGTACTGCCAGCGGTAGGGGATGGAACAGCTAGGACGTCGCAACGCAAGCGTCGAGGCGCGCGCATCCCGCTCGATGCGATGAAACTACATCGCAATCGAAGCTAGGTCAACCTTGACCTTATACTCGCTGCTAGCCACAGGTCCATACTCCAAGTGCGCTCGAAGGCTATTTGCACGGGAATTACGAGGTGTCACTTGAGTTCTCTTGATATATCAAAGCACTGATAATTAATTGAAAATTCGCTTTGCTTAAACATCACTTTCTAGGGAAAAGATAATATTCCAAGATCTATATAGCCACTAAATATACCTATGTATATCTGTAGACAATGCTGGTTGTACGATGCGCCATGGATATTGCATCAGCCGGCAGCTTCGACATATAGAATTTCATACAGACAGGAAATATATTCATATATGAGACACCAGTTAGGATCTTATCAATTCGCATTTGCGCTTTCCATAAATATAAATGTCAATGCCCTAAAGCCGTCTTTCACTGAAATCTATGTATATGACTGTGAGCACCAAAAAGCATATAGTAAAAAAGATCTTTTTTTCTTCACAGGGCAGCCAACTATAGATATAAATCAAATGAAATGTGTGGACATCAGGATGGAAAAATTCTGTAGTTTGTAAATTGGATTATAACACCGAAATTACTGAGTCGACCTTGGCCTTGACATCGACCGTAGCGTCCCGACGCTACGCAGTTGCATCAGAGGGAATTTCATCATAGACCGTTCGATACGCGAGATGTTATATATGTTTGGTGAAAATTTTTGTAGAGGTTCGTGGAAGTCGGATGATATAAATTTAGATACATATATGCATCAGTGGTAAGAGAAGAGGGGATACGTATCACGAAAGCGGGAACACACTCGTATCTTATTTCCTGAGCTTCCAAAATTAGTTGAGCGTTCTGGGGACGGTTCATACGTCATATGAGGAATATGACTACGTCCCACGTATACACGTAATAACAATTCACTGTATATTCCGTAATCTCCAGACATTCTCGCAATCTCATTTTTAATGATAGCCTGACGATCTAAATTAAAGCATTTAATCAACAGAAAATGTGAACCGAGTCACTGACGGGATGCATCAGAAAATATAAGTGGAAACTACATGCCATTTGACTCACAGAGAGGATGAAGGAAAACAAGATAAACAGATAGAATTCTCAGTACAGGAATCTTCAGTACATAAAATCTAAAATTACGTGGTACGAAGGATATTAAAGATATTATATGAAAATTCGTACAACCACGTTGTTTATAATTAATATTTATATCTGTTTGAAGTACTTCCGGGCAATTTGAGAAATGGATGTTTTCCACGTGCAATCAACCCTTCAGGATATTCGCATCAGTGGAGATATACTGCTCCAGGTGGATGGATGGGACGTGCCCAGATTCAATAAAGCTCAAATCACTGGCGCCTGCCGTTCGCTTCCCCGTTCGCTGCAAAGAACGAACGGTTACTCGTTTCGTGAACTACGCCGGGATAGCGACGCAGCAAGAGACGCCCGATGAACCAGGAAGTCGTATTCGTTGAGAACAACGACCAAGGACTTTCCTCTTCCTCCACGCCTATATTCCTCCTACGTGTTAATTCTTTTTAGTTTATTCATTCGCGCGTCCATCGCGAACCATGCATACCTTCAAAAATTACATAAACGTTCGTCGAAGTGCCTCAAGGTTCGCAAATCCACGATATGGAAGTAGAGGACAGAAGAGTTTCACCAGAACTTCTACGATTTAAATTTTTTTACCGCAACGAGAATGTCATAGTATGATTCAGAGACCTAGAGCTACGGTAAGAATCACAATAATATATTTGCAAAGAACTGTCAATGTTCTTATTCGAATTTTCGTTCAGGGCCATCCTCGTCCCGGACATGATGACTTACTGCAAGTTTTAACGGTCCCGTCTATTTTCTAGCATGATCCATACTCGACCTCGACTTCGGGAACCTGTTGCTGTGCTGGTTACCAATGTATTAATACGAAAGACATCCACACAAAGTTCCTCGAAGATGTCACATAGACTAGGACTACGTTCAGAACATCTTACGACCCACCACACGATAAATGACAAACCATACCTTGGAATTAACTATAGCCAACCGATACGAACCTGCCTGTCTAGTATCGATAATAGAGATTCACAGTATATCGTATATATGAATTAAAAAATTCACGATGACAAAGTCGACCGCTCGAAGGAATCAGGGTCGCTGAGCCATGACGCATATAATGATGATCAATAAAATGATCAGGTGGTGACTTTCGGAAAAGTCCAAGGTCACCATCCTCTGACGCTCGCTCCTGTATACCAAGTTACTAGATTTATTTGCGCGTTTGACCAGCTGGCGCGCATCTCGAATTACGTGCCAGGGATTGATCGCGTGCACGGAGTCGGCGAACAATCAAAAGGTCGGATCGATGCTGAGAAGGAACCGTTAGCGCACTCAAGTCAAGATGCGTGGGACGAGTCTTCTCTGGGTGCTCTTGCTTTCTTCGAAAGAGCAGATCGTGCCATGTGTATGTACATATACATTTGAGAACGTAGCGCCAACTCATACCCGTGTGTAACGAGACATTAGGTAGGAGGAGGTGAAGGAGGACGAAGAGATGGAGGAGGATTGCTGCCTGAAATAAAAACAAGGTCAAGTTTAACCAAGGCCGCGTGCCGAGAGGTGTATCGGCCCCCACGAGGTAATAGCCATTTATTAATACTTCTAGTGTCTAGAAGCAGTATTGCCTTCCCGAATAAAAGTTAGATTCCTCCGAGCTGATCTAGAAAGAGATCTTTCGTACGTATCTACAGGACGTATCGTACCGATTGCCACGACTCGTGGATTCACGTGGACGAGTAACGAGGCGCCCGTCAGGATCACAAAGCAGTGACGCCGACGCTTTTACGTTTGTATGGATACGCTTCGTATACTCCTTCAGTGTTATGTATGCCTCTACCTACGTATATGCTTGTACATTACGCGCTATGTTTTCGCGGCAGGAAAAGCCTGCGCAACGACAAACAAAAGTGACGCGATATTCGCGATGTATCTCCGACTTTGGCCTTCAACCATCGGTACTTGTATAAGTCGAGTCAAAGTGCAAGGTGACCGCGTCACGTCGTAAAATAACATATTATTTTTACGCCCGGTTTTATGCGCGAACGTCGGTGGTTCGCTCCTCGTCCGGAGGAGATATTCGATCTCGGTCATTCAGAGAAGAAAGGGTGCTATTTGCAATTTTACTTTTTGACACTAAACACCAACCTTCGGGACGCCTCTGCCGGGAGATATGTGACGATATAAAAATGTTGGGACGATTTCAGAGTGGAATTTCCACGAGCGCGATTATTATTCTCGTAAACGTGCCTAATATGTAAGTGGTACTCATCGTCTAAGATCGCGACAGAAAAATAATAAGACACTCGCGACTTGTTTGACTATACATACATACGTATATTCGTCACGCTCTATATCTATAGCAAGGTTGGCACTAAAACCCGGATAAGAAATTGGCCAGGAATTCAGCCAGTGCCAAATCGTAAAGTAGGGACGACCTCTGTGATCCAACGAGTTCAAGGTGAAGATAGAGAAGTAAAAGATGGGGACTGGGTAATAATATTCGGGATTACGTTAACTGGGAAAATCCAGGATTTACGTTGAGAGAAATTGTCATTGTTTTTTCATTTTTTATCTTTATTGCGTCACTGATTGACAATTGCCGCTTGTTTATCCAAACTATTATGTACATATGTTTGGGCCCTTCCACGTCAGCCATTTTTAATTGGATGTGAAATGCATACTGTTCATTATCTTGATCGTTTTTTTACTTTGGTAGCCTTGGGTTTTCCACGAGGTGGTTTACCACCACGACCCTTTTTACCCCGACCCTTAGTCTTCTCCTTTGCTTTGACAGCTCTTAAATCTTTCTTTAATCTTGGATCAACAACCTTGTAACGACCTTTGACACCAGCAGGTCGCATGGCTCTTTTCTGGGCTGAATGCTTCTTTGCTACCACATATGTCACTTCCTTCCTCGGTTCTTTCTGTGCCTTTTTGTATAGACTGCCAAAAGTTATGTAAGATACACAAAATGTTAGTATTATTTTTCTTAGATTTATTTTTGTTTGTTTTTACGTATTGGATACTTACGTTTTAACCTGCTTTGCTTTTTCCCTGTCACTGATATCCGTATTGTCCATTAAAGCTTCGACCTTCTTCTTAGCTTTTTCCAACTTCTTCATCGCCCGCCTCTTCTTCCTAGCTTTAGCCTCCATTACTTTTTTTATTGGCCTAACGTTCAGTTCTTCCACTCGCTTTTTGTACTCGTCCACGAGTTCTTTAGGTACTGGAGCTTCCTTCCTCATATGCTTTTCTTCTTCCTGGACGAACCAGTCTGGAAGCCTCTCGTCATTGAAGGTATATCTATTCCACGCTCCGTCTATTAGATCCCTTCGAGTTTTTTTACTTTGAACCATTAACGAGCCCAATGCGAGATCCTCCTCTGTCAACTTTCTTTTATTCTTCATTTTTAGAGCTGAAAAATAAGGGGTCATTATGTTGAAGTCGTGTGTTAAGAGATAATTAAATGAAATACTTACGCTTGTCTTTAGAAACAACTTCGAAGCCATCTTTTCCACCAATCTTTTTTGACTTCTTATTCGGAGCCATCATTTCTTCCATGTCGTATTCAGATTCAGAACTGGTAACATTATCCTCGTCGTCTTTATCTATTTTCTTTTGTATTTTATTAATCGTTGCTGTTTTTTTCTCGCCTACTATGGAGCCGCCTTTGCTTTTGTATTCCTCTACCATTTTATCCAGTTCAAAGTCCTCGTCCTCCTCCTTCTCTAAGTTCTTAAAAACATCCTTCTCGAACCATAATTCAGCTTTATGAATTTTTTTAGCTTTCTTATCCCTGGGGTCCAAATCTGTGATTAAAGGATTCTCATCTGCTTCTTCAATCTTTCTTCTCTTCGTTTTCGCTACTGGTTTCTCTGTCTCATCTTCTGAATCGCTGAGACCTAAATATGATTAGATAACTTAATTGTAAGGTAAATGAATATTTATTATTATTTATACTTTACCTAATCCAGATGTGTCAGTATCTGATTCTTCTGAATCTGAATTTTCTGCTTCACTGTCATGCGACTTGTAATAAAGACCTGTACTGTCCAAATGTCCTGAGTCTTTATGATATTTAACTTTCTTCGGTTTAGCCGGCTCATCATCCGAATCTACATCACTCTCAGCTAGCACATCAGGCAGCTGATCAGTTACAGTTTCCAAATGTTCAATCGTTTCTATTTTCTTCAAGTCAAACATATCATCACTCTCTAATCTTGGTCCTTCGTCACCCTTAAGAACCATTTTCAAATTAAGGCGCTCATTCAATTTTTGTCTTTCCTTATTCGCCTTCTTCTTCTTTCTTCTAAGTTCTCGTGCTTCTTCTGCAGAAAGTTCTGCAATTTGCTTGTCGATTTCTTCATTTTCTAAATCTTCCTGTGCTTCCAATGTGATCGGTGTCACTTCCTCTGTATTTGCCTCTTCAACTACCGATTCATCTTTCGTCTCTTGACTTTTCCGTAGTTCTTCCTTGAGTATCTTCCACCAAGTAAGAAGTAGCCGTAACTCCTTCCTGCCAAGAACTTTAATATCCTTACAGCATTCTTTAAGTTCGTTAGTAGTTTTCGGATGATTTGCTATTCTCTCGTCATCTATAACAATTTCTGATGCATTTTGCAGAGCCTCTATACCGCTACTATGAGCGATAAAGTCTGTAGCCAATAATTTGTGATGCAACGTATGATCATTTTCTGGATATCCCTCTGCCTTGCTTTTTTTCTGCTTTTCAGGATGAAAGACATTCAATTTGTTCTTAGATTCGACTTCCAGTTCAGAAAATACGTATTTTGGATCCAGAAATTTTGGATCGAGTTTGTCAGGTGCTATGTAGTATTGACATACAACGAAAATTTCAGCAGATTCATTTCTGGATGCTTGCGGTTTAGTGGCATGGACCTAAGGACAAAGGGGTATCTTAAGCATTAAATAATCATAACTAATTGAACTAGTGAAACAACTTGCATACCTTCTTAAATAATTGTTTAAGTACCCAAACTAATGGATGGTAATCCCTAGATCTAAACACTTTTGTCACAAACCATCCACCAGGTCTTAAAAATTGTGTGGCTACTTTGACTGCTGCCAAAGTAAGAACTGTTTGTTGATAAGCATCATGCAGCCAATTTTTTCCTACATTAGGAGCACCATCGTTTAAAACTACATCGGCTTTCCATGTTTTCAATTCTCTGGTAATTGCCACACGGCACTTGTCGGTAGTAATGTCTTCAGTGAGACTGATGCAACCAGGTATCGGTTTTATTGGAAATAAATCAACACCTATTACGATGGAGGATACAGGCATGTTTTGTCTGGCAACCTGCATCCAACCACCAGGTGCTGCACAAAGATCAATACATACTCGAGATTTCTGAAGAAATTCAAATTTACGATTAAGCTGTATTAACTTAAAGGCTGCACGAGATCTAAAACCTGTAAGGAGAATTCAGAATTTACAGCACTACATTTTACAATTCATTTATTATGCATGATGTACATAAACTTTATACATACCAGTCTCTTTAGCCAATTGATAATACTTATCCCTCCGCTGCTTTCCAATTTTCGATTTCTTCCCCATTTTATAATGCGTGAAATAACGCTTTTATGAAAAAAACAAATCTGCTGCCCGTCACGGGCGATGCAGCACGTGGACACAGATATTCTATAGGTTATGTTATTATGCTCGTTTGATTATGCTCTAAGGTTTATTTTCATGAATAATGGCGGCAACGACAGTTGGTAAAGTCGAACATTTCATTGGTTCTTCTGGAAGACCAACTGACCACGAGCCAATTACAGTCCTTTAACAATTTTACATACCTATCGCTGTTCTGAAATGTTGGCTTAAAGTACTAGGAATATTTTCTTTATTCTCAACTTCTCGGGAACCATCAACGAAAATTTTGGAGTATTCTCCGTGTTGGTAATTCTGGTTAGCCGGAGATAGGCGTTGGAAAGCGTAGGTTATTTTTTATTAATTTGGTTTTTAATAGACGTCTCGTGTACTTTAAACGTTTATAACAGATTCGGTGTAAATTTGGATAAAGGATTGTTTAATGTATAATAAAACAATAAGTGTTGTATGTTGCCGAAAAAAGTTCGCAGTGTTTGTGGCATATACAAAACAGTTTCAGTAAGCTACCTTGAGCGATTGGGTTTTAGTTTGTAATGCATCAACCTGTATTTCTATTTGCATTAATAAATTGTAGATTAGTTTCTTTCAGTAAACAATATAATGTGTTTTTGGTATAAGTATTGTGTATATTGTCAACAATGATACACTATTGCTCCATTTATGTGCTACTGTTAGCATCTTGTTTATGGCATTATACATCTCATTACATAGCGCGTTCAGCATTTTGTTTAGATGTAACATTAATATTTATCGTAAATTGCGTATTAATATGTATATTATTTATTTTTCCGGAAGATAAACATTTCATAAAAATGGCGCAAAGGTTCCCTGTACCAAATGCAGGGAACAATGGTCCTCCACCACAGCGTTATCCTCCACCATCGGTACCACCAAATTTAAGGCAATACTCAGGGCCAAATTTTCCAGTAAGATGCAATGCTGCACCACCTTTTACTTTTACTGTATTAAATGCTTTTGGTTGGTTTGAACTAAAATCTCTTTAGATGCAGCAAAGATCTGGATTTACTCCACCACCACAAATGGGTACTGGTGGTCCTGGTCCTGGTGGAATGATGAGGCCTAGCCAACCATATTCTACTATGAGACAAGGTCCTATGCCGACTCCTCCTGGTGGTAAAAGAAGTGCTGATCAACGTATACCAATGTCCCAGCAAAAACCGTGAGTGTATCGGTATTTTTATTTTATTTATTTCTTAACAATTTGGCATGTTATTTTTCATTGACCAATCAGTGAAAAATTGCTTCATAAAACTGATTTATAAATAAACAATGTTTTATTCTCTAATTCATATTTCTTTCGATTATTTCAAGTTTCAAAGAAAAGTTATGAAACATTTGGGAACTGAATTCTTTATCCATACACTTACACATTTATAGTACATTAATTTTGTTCATCAAGGAACTTTAACCGATGACCCGTGCTATGGCGCCAAATCAACACACACACCGAAATTTCCAAATTACTTTTGATTTTTGAATCTATGATTTTCACAAATACTCATCTAGGTATTTTTGGAACAGTGATTTTTCACATTCCACATCCAAGAAGAAGAAGAAACTGGCGGACAAAATTCTGCCCCAAAAGGTCCGCGATCTCGTGCCAGAATCGCAGGCTTACATGGATTTACTTGCGTTTGAAAGAAAACTAGATGCAACGATAATGCGCAAGCGTCTTGATATTCAGGAAGCACTGAAACGTCCGATGAAACAGAAACGGAAATTACGTATATTTATATCCAATACGTTCTATCCGGCCAAGGAAGCCGGCGAGGGTGAAGAGGGTTCCGTCGCGTCCTGGGAACTAAGGGTCGAAGGACGACTTTTAGATGACACTAAAAATGACCCCAATAAGGTAAGACATTTATATACCATTCCCTTCCTTCCTTATCCAACTAAAAACAATCTAATAGATGCTCTGCTTTTTTAGGTAAAAAGGAAATTTTCATCATTCTTCAAGAGTCTAGTTATAGAATTGGATAAAGACTTGTATGGGCCTGACAACCACCTAGTCGAATGGCATCGTACATTAACAACACAAGAAACTGATGGTTTTCAAGTTAAAAGACCAGGAGATAAAAATGTCCGATGCACTATACTATTACTTTTGGATTATCAACCTCTGCAGGTAACCTAATACACAGTGTTCGCACATTATGATATCCACTGACAATCATATTCATCCTCCACCTTACCTATCCTTGTACATTTTTTTCTTTAGTTCAAGCTAGATCCACGATTGGCACGTTTACTTGGCGTTCATACGCAAACGCGACCTGTTATAATATCCGCATTATGGCAGTACATAAAAACGCACAAACTTCAGGATAGCCACGAGCGTGAATTTATAAACTGCGACAAATACCTGGAGCAAATATTTGCCTGTCCCAGAATGAAATTCGCAGAGATACCACAGCGTTTAAATCCTCTGCTTCATCCTCCTGATCCAATTGTCATCAATCACGTTATCAGTGTAGAAGGTCAGTATAATACTTATTCCACTCTTGAATTAATTTCCTGATATTAAACGTCAATTTATTTCTCTCATTCATAATAGGCACAGAAACAAAACAAACAGCGTGTTACGACATAGACGTCGAGGTGGACGACACGTTAAAAACTCAAATGAATAATTTTCTATTGTCAACCGCAAGTCAGCAGGAAATACAAAGTCTGGATAATAAGATTCACGAGACTGTCGAGACAATCAATCAATTGAAGACAAATCGTGAATTCTTCCTGAGCTTTGCAAAGGATCCGCAGCAGTTTATCAATAAATGGATTATTTCCCAGACAAGAGATCTGAAGACCATGACGGACGTGGTTGGGAATCCCGAGGAGGAACGACGCGCCGATTTTTATTATCAACCTTGGGCACAGGAGGCGGTTTGTCGCTATTTCTACACAAAGGTTCAACAAAAACGGGCAGAACTCGAACAGGCACTTGGTATTCGAAATTCATAAGGGATAAATGATTCATTAAATTTTAATGTATACTTTTTGTAACCTTGTTACATGCTAGGTAACAATAACGTCGTATACTGAATGATTCATATACGCACTCCGGCCTGTCAATAAATTGTGCATTCATTGAAAGCGATACTCGCACCGAGTAATAATGATTAACAAACTGACTGTTAATGAACGATTTTTTCTATCAACTTGGCTTGCGAGTATTTATTGAAATTAGGTATATTTATGTACCCGGAAGTTGGATCGTGCACTGAATCAGTGTCAGCGCGTCTAACACGACAAACCAGGTTCAGATTTTTAATTCATAAAAATATTTGCCAGAAGGAAATCCTGTGTGTAATACAGGTAATAAATATATTCCAAATAACAAGCCTCTAATTATGTTCATCATATCTTACGTTTGTGCTGACTCCTAGGAGTTAAAAAAAATTAATTCATCAAATCTAAATACAGGTAGTAACAAAAAGCTCGTACACTTTAAGATCTCACATTATATTTCTCGGTTAATCGGAATCGGTAATAATTTATATATAATATTCATATCGTAATAATTCATTATATAAAGTCGTCCCGACTCTATCCTCTACGTAATACAGTTCTCTCTGGAGTATATACATAAAAAAATGGTAACAATCGGAGCATCCACCTTCTCTTTAGACAATCGCACGAACATTACCTTAAATTTTATTCGACAGAATAAACATTTTATTTAATTATTTCGGCTCATCATCTCACACCTCTGGTGAACTGTCATATTCGTATGATCAAGCACGGCTACAACGTATTTCCTGCTATTATTCATATTTCTTTATCCATTATTTGTTCATAAATAGCACTAGGTAGAGAAAAAAAATTCTCTTTTCTTCACTTTTTTATCTTCTTTTTCCGTACCTGTCCAACCGTGCTTCTCACACGCACACCAGAGATTCATTTTCATTATACATAAAGCATCCAAATGACCTCATTATGATCATTGCTCGAGTTTCCCTTTATAAATTGATAATGCTGATCGCCCGAAGGTCTTTCTAAAAATGTCCGACACGTCGATAATCCCATGACGTTACGTGGAACGAGGGCGGATCTTAATAAATTTTTTATTAGAAGTGTAACAACGTAATGGAGCGAGGACATCGCGTGTCCCAAGATCTTTTTTTTTTTAATTATATTAATAATAATCCATTTATAATCGCGATGAAGCTCTCGCCCTGTCACATTTCTAGACGAGGATGGATATGGATACGTACACCCATTACGTTCGTAAAGATTGTCAAAATGTCTTAAAGCTTGGCAGAAGTAATTGGTTCTACGGACTTGTCCCGTTCATGCTTCAAGCGAGAGGATTCGAGTAATCCGATACGAACGTTTAAAAACTTAGCAAACCGTGTAGAATTGGACACTTAAGGTGTTTAGACGTAATATTGAGAAATTCATTTGGCAATGTAATACGTGGCCATTCTAGTATCGAGAGGCGTATCTGCTACGGATTATTATTTTTCTTACTTTATCTAGTTGTCTATTTTCCTCATAAAATTCTACACACGACTCGGTGGTCCGTGCTTCTCATATGCATTGGAAAAGTATGAAAAATTATCGAAGTTTCTTACCACGTTTCCGACTTGACATTTAAACAGCTTGACTAATGCGCGCACCTAAAATCTCTTATGAATGGTGACAATTTACATACATTGCCAAAAATGTATTTCTCCAGGATCCTTAATATATTCGGTATAAGAGTAATAACGATAGGTTTCAAATGACAAGCATATTTCTTTTTTTTGTTGTTGCAATAATGAGAATTGCGAAATTGGACTTACAATTGCTAATTACGTTAATCGATCGGTTCGATCAATTTCATTGTGTGGAGCAACAGTCGGAAAGATTCGTACGCAAGACGAATTTTCTCATTCACTATGTTTTCTGACGAGTTCTTCCTTTGATCTTACGTAATGGTATAAAAACGTTTAAGATGATGAAAAAGGAAAAGAAAAATAGTCACAAAAAAACAAGCTACAGAGGCGGTAACGTGCGCGATAATAAACCCCTATGACTTTCTCTTGGATAAGAATCGCTTAAAGACTACGAAAATCATTGAAATCATCAGCTGTACATTACGATTATTCAAGTAAAAGTGATGCAATTTTATCTAGGATGGGTCAAAGAGAATGCGTTATCATAACTTTAATGCATTGACTAGATCTATCACTGACTAACATGATGAAATGATGCACCCATTATGAATGCTTCTGGCAAGACGAATAATAAACTCGTAAGGCAAAATCATTCTTACGAGTTTCCATGACGACCGAAGGAGACAAGTAATGATAATTTTTTTTCCCCTTAATATTATTAACGTCGTGTACATTCTCTTCGACAGTCTGTAATGGCGTGCCTATAAAATCGCTTAGCTACACAGGCCTATATAGGAAATCGTAATTATGTTAATAACATTAATTAATATTTAGTAATGAATATGTTTTGTCTTTATGCGCGGCCTGATTTTCACGGATTAAATTCCCTCATTTCTGTTTAAACGGCATACATGTGTACGATATCATTCGAATATCCTTTTGCAATCTCGAGAATTAGCATGCAGAAAAAAAAGCTCTAAATTCTTATATATCTGCACTTACAGTTTGTCATTGAGGTCCATGACAAGGATTACATGTTTGAAAAAGATATTCAAACGTTACTTTACATCCAGTACAATTAATCAAATCTCCGAAACCGCTTTGCTGACTAGAATTAAAACAACGTTTCGTTCGAAAAGGCATATATGCTTCCAGGACGAGAAACAGCCACCTATTACTTGGCAGTGAAGTCGGGCCAGTAATTTATATAGTAGCGATGTGTCAAGCCCTCGAACAGTCTGTCAAGCCACATTGGCAACCCGTCCAAAAGTTTATCCTGATACAGTACATCACTTTCCACCTAGTCAAAATAAGAGAACAAAAATATTTAGATATTTATTCGATATCGCTCATCTTCCGTTACTATATATTTATAGTTTTACTTACCTCATCCTGAGACGTGTCCGAATCGCTGGAACTGTTGAAACCAATAAATGCTCCAGCTTCGGCATCCTCTGATCTTCGACTTAACCGTTTAGTCATCCTTTCCATTCGCTAGATACAAGTAAACAGATTAATATATTTTTTTTAAATATACCTATAAACATATTTATCATACCTTAAATCCTTTTCCTTTGCTACACTCAGGATGCTTCGCATGATACATGCAGAAATATTTACGATGACCGTTCAGAGATAAGACTGTACCCACGCAATTTTTTGCATTTATATTTAATTCTCTCTGTTCGGGTAAACTGAGTGATAGTAGCTTTTTATACCAATCCAGTCCTCGTTCCAAAGACATATGTCCGAACATGAGAGTTTTATTTTTCCTGTGCGATTAAATTTGAGGTAATCTTAAATTTCATGTTTTATTTCAGGTTAAAATATTTTGTTTTATTAACAACTAAACCCACCTATAAGGCCACACGGCTCTGTGAAATGCTGGCAGTAGCTTTAACCTACTTTGAACATCCACTAGCAATATAATTGTGCGACAACCTGGTTTCAACAGTCGTACCAAGCCATTATACTTTTCCGCTCGTAATTCATGAAGCCGCAATTGAGGCTGTGACTCTACGCTCTTAGTGCTGTCCTTACACTGAGCCCGTTTTGCTTGTACACTAGCCTCTTCCAATTTTCTACAGTCATCAATTGTTATAGATAATTTAAAAAATCGTTAATCAAAATGATTAAGGGTTGTATACAATTTTGTTTTACTTACACTAAGTAAGACATTCCGTAACCAGCAACTCCAATCAACATCAAGGTTGCTATTACTGATATCAATGGTAACAGTTGCTCCTTCGTAAGACTATCAGAGATGTAATCAACAGCCAGCAATGCTCTGCCTATCAATCTATCCACTGTTCCCTGCATTGGTCAATTAAGTGTAAGAATAAAAGTATATAAAAGCTGTGAATTCATTAATAAAAATCCTTGAAACATTACCTGAGCATGTTCGTCGGCCAATTCTCCAACTTCGGCAGCGTACGGCAACGCTTCAGATGCTCGCAACAATCGCTGTATAGTCTGCTCCAAATTCTTACGAGTTTCATTCCATTGATTTTCATCCTGTGCTGTTTCAATCCATCCTGTCGGTAGCCATTCGTATTTTAAATGATTCGCATCTCGTCTCCATATTATCACAATGTGTAATAATGGTTCGATAGGCGAACCCTCGCCACTTGATAACGCAGATACGAATTCGGGTTGCGTTTCTTTGAAAACATAAGTGTATCTTACGCGTTCAGTGCTAAAATATTACGTAAAATAAATTTTCTGTCGAATATACTTTGCGTTGTAATATATAAAAATATACAATGTACCTGTAAGGCGATTCCACTGCAGCCTGTCGGAATTTATGTCGTGCTAAATCGTGTATCGGACTGTTTTGCGAAATTAAAATGGCACAAAGTCGTTTCTGCGGTTTTTGCCATTCAGGCGGGCATACGGAATCCAGCATCGCCTGATTCGAAAGTCTTGGCAACATCAGGAATTTATTATTTGCAATGACATTGTGCATTGTCTCACTCGGTATATCTTTCATGCTGACTGACGCCATCGGCTTTTCAGAATTCTCGTTGAACAAAAGAAGAGTATCTAGATCACCTGAGATCTTATATTTCGATGTGATGGCGACTGTTTCAGGTTTATGAACCTATAGTATGAATTATTGTTTTCAGTACAGAATTAACGTATACATTATGTAATTATGTCTTGCAATTACCTGTACGAAGCCAAAGGCAACGCGATCTCTATGATGAAAAGCCATAAGTAGATATCGTAGACGTGCGGAATCTCTTGTTTCAAATATTAATGCGCGTATTCTGTTGTCAACCCAACCAGACAAAAAGCTATCAATATTATCCTTGTTAATGTTCTGTATCAGCTTGTATGGGAATTTACTTCTTAAGAATTCTGCTTGCGGAAACGTGGAAAAATTCAATAATTAGGATATACGACGTCGGTTAAAATGATTGAACACTGGTAACAGTTTGCTCACTAGTTCCTGCAAACTTACCCACAACTTTCTGTACACTGAATAAGGATTCTTTGTAAATACTCGTGCGGCCGTCTATTGTTACGGCTAAACATGGTAACGAATGCACTCCTAATCTTCTTGCTAAAGCTGGTTCTCTCTCGGCGTGTGCCGTTGTTAAACCGACACCAAGGGGCTCCAATTCATCCATAAGGCGACGCCATGTTGGTTCCACTTGTAAACACGCAAAACACCAATCCGAATAAAATAGAATTAAATGCGGTGTACGATAACTCTTTGGAACTATTGTGTTTTCAAAGGCTCTGAAAGAGATTTCATTTTTTTAATGTTGACAAAAATGTTATTGAATGTGGAAAGTTGATGATTTTCTTTACAAGATTCAGATTACTAACCGATATGTGATGCTCATTTTGTGGAATAATGTAATGTCTCGGTTCTGATAATGAAATTTAAAATTTCCTGTAAATAGTTCCTCAAATGGGTCTGGCATGTTAAAGTGACTATTGTCTCTTCTTTGGCGCGGCATACCTTCTTCTGTTATACCATGATTATCAAATTTTCTTCTTCTTTCAGGATCAGTTAGAAGCTGTGCGAATCAAATTAATTAATATACAGAGTTTGCTGTTGGAGTTTTACAATTCTCATTCTTTTTTAGAAATAAATATTTAATTGAAGTAACTTACTTCGTAAGCTCTGGTGATTTCTACAAACTTATTTTCAGCTGCTGGATGATCTGTCTTATCAGGATGCCTATAATCAAATGTGATTTATTTCTTAAAAAAAGTAATAAGACAGACAATTATCGGTTATAGTTAATGTTACTAGTTATGTAGGATGCAAAATGAACAAATTACCATTCCTTAACAAGATGTTTATATGCCTTTCTGATATCCTGCAGTGTTGCATGTTTCGACACACCCAAAACCTCATATGGATTTCCTAAAGGCTCTCCAGCTTCAGTAAGTGGTAATAATTGAATGACAATAAACAGTGTAGCCAAATAAAACGATAGCCTTGCTAAAGGAGCTATGTTTTCCATTTTTCTCTTTAAGTTTGCTGACTGCTTAATTACTTTTGACACAATTGTTAGACAGTTTAACAATACTGTCAATAGTGAAGTAATCCAAACATTTTCACTGCATTTGGGATTTGGACGAAGATAGACGTTCGATTTTATGAACTCAGTGATGCTTCTGGCTAAAGAGTCTCCAGATATTAAAACTTTCTTCCTTCTAGCAATGTTATCCTGCATAAACTTCCCAGCAGCAGACGACATATAATTGCCCTTTTTCTTAATCACAATCGGTTCACATGGCTCGCACAAGTTATACTCCTTTGCTTTCTCTGCTGGTAAGGAAGCAAAGTATGACAATGATGTATCCAAAGTATTCCAGAGAATCATTTTGGTGATAAATCTAGCAAAATTGATGTATGTTTAATACAGTCCATATAAATAGTGATCAGTCCTTTATAGGATACTGATGCATCTTTATGTGAAAATAACACTCCATGTTATAATCGAAATTTTCGTACCTAACGTATTCAACAGTCGTAATTGAAGCTCTTTGAAAGATTGAAGTAACGCTATTTATCAGTCATTCTATCACTTAGGTTATTGTGGCTTGCCACTCGACGAAAACGGTACGAAAATAGAATAGAACAGACGGCCCCGGAGTAAACGGGGAATTTCGGTGTCTCTGGGGCTCAACGAAATTGCGGCAACTTCTCTCTGATGATTCAGAGACACTTGACAGAAACCATCTGTCACATTGGGCACTGTTTCGTTTAAATTTTCAACGAGAAATCAATCAGATTGTAGAAACACTCTCTCGCTGTGCATCTCCACGTATGTACACAGGGTAGCACCGAGGGCACTAAGCTTTTTTCAGGGTGTATTTGTTAAAAGCGAAGCTTGTCAAGGCGTTGGTATATTCCCAAGAAGGAAACGATATTCTCCATTGAGACGCGCGCCATATTACTAAAGAAACACTTGGATTTCGATAGAAAATAAAGCGTTCATCAAGCGTCTTATGTCTAGCTATCTCTGACCGAGAAAACGCGTTATTACAAATTATCCAAAGCCGATCTACACCATCAACTACATATATGGGTTTATAATAGGGACTTTTTAGGTATAAAACTGAGGTTCGATAAAGTGAAAATTCTGATTTGTGGGATACTTTTTTTCGCATAGTAATTTTCATAAATCTACTAGAAACTTCAATTGGCAATACTAAAGGAATGGCGGCGTGGTACGCGCGCCGTAATAAACTTCAGATTTCTCTCTAGGAACCCCATTTATATCCAGTTTCAAATCCGTCTGAATGGAAATGACTTGATTACTCTTATTGCCCACGAGGAAGATCTTAACGTCCCGAGTATTACGAAGAAAAAGCTGGCACTTTAGAAAGTCCCGTTTTCATTTGGTTTTACGTTTGACCGATCGATCATTTGGGCGGCCGCACTACTCCGACTCATATGACGTAACGCTTCTTTCGTACACTTGCAGGAAAATGGCTGGGACTTGGGTTGAGAATGAAATCGGACGAAAGTGGGATCGTTGCTTTACCGACGCAGTCCTGAAATTGGGTAAATATTATTCGGGTTATTCTTCGTAACAGTCTTTCGTTTACGAAATGAAGCACTTTCTTGATATTCACTGATGTTTTGACGTCTTTCAGGAGGCGGCCTTTTCCTTGGCTCCGTGTTTTCGTTACTCTTCTTCAAGAGTAAGTTTCTTACTGAATTTATAATAATTTCTTGACATCTCCACTCAGAGAAGTAGTCTGTCTTTTTCCTCTTATCGAGTCAAGTATTCGTTGATATTCCTTGTTTATGTTTCACATACTAAACTGAGTTCTAGACGCTCCATAACCCTTTTATCTATTGAAGAAGGAAATGATATCAAGATTTTTCAATAATTTTATCAGTTAGTATGCTATAAACCTTGTATCACTGTTGGTCTTTAACCTGAGATATGTAGTAAAAGTGCTGAAATGTACAAACAAGAACATATAATATATGAAAATCATACAATTATGTTTTCTTCACACTATGGAATTGGCACTGCCAAAAATAGATTATTAGGATCATTCAATGTTATTTTAGAGCATCCCTACACACAAAATATCTGTCTACTTTATTTTGAACATTCATCAAACATCAGTGATATAATAATTCTTCTTTTATGCAGGGAAAAGGTGGCCAATCATAACTGGAGCTGGTTTTGGCCTGGGTATGGCATATTCCAACTGTGAGAAGGACATCAATGCATCATTAAATCAGTGCAAACCTCAGGGGCGTAAATGTGATGAGAAAAAATAAATAAAATACGGAAAAGCAACGGTTAAAACGCAATGCATGAATATCATCATCCAATTATTGATGGAATTCAATAATGACAATGCTACAACTAGTTGAATTTGTAACGTTCCGGCGTAAAAACAGCGCTAACGAAATAAAAATCATACAGTGTACATATATATTATTATTAATTATTCAGCTGTAAATTATGTTAAAGAAATAAAGAATTTCTTATCATATTCCACAATTAGTTGATCTGTTCACATTATCATGATATATATATATAGACATGCAAATTGCCTTCTTTTTGTAGGATGTAGTTAAACGAAAAACGGAATTGGATTTTTAAAATTCATCTTAAAAATTGAATAATCACAAAGTATACTTTCAGTTTGAATTTTTTGAATTTTACTCAATCTATAATTTTTCGGGTAAACTGCAGTATGCGACTCCGAACTGAAGTTGGCTGCTAGTGACTTAGGTTTTTCGAGGTATCGCCATCTGCCGGATATAATGTGAATCGCATAGAATAGTCACGCCGCCTATTAGAAAAAAAATTAACCATAACCGACAGAAATAGTACCAGTCGACCGTCGTGTGCGGGGAACATTGAAATTCCTACTGAGCCTGAATCTGGGTGTACTTATGAATCCAAAAATATGTCAATTGTAAAATTTCGATCATTGATAACTTCGATCTGCCAAAAAACGAACCAGTTCTCACTGATCTCGTTGTTTTGCAACTACGACATTGCCAACGATATTTGTCCGAAAGAAATTCAGCAGTGCTTATCGCACACTGGACATTTGAAAGTCCGAGCTATGAGTCCGTATCTTTGTGCAAAGGTGATTACCTCAATAGAAGGTTTCTCACCTAGTTTGAACAAATCTACGAACCGTATCACCATTGCAATCGATCATACACAATCCAATTTAAGCAAAAGAAATAATAGCACACTTGTGTTACACGCTTTGCGAGCTACTAACGAAAATCATGCTTATACATGTTTTACGAAAGCAGACGATACATTGTAGCAAAAAAATCACGAAGCAGTAGATCAAATTTAATGCTCAATGTACAATCACGAGCTTGCACTTATACATACTTATATTTTTAAATAATATATTCATATCAAAATATATGTATACATAATAGGTGCAAACCTGTGTGGCGTAGCACGAAAATTAAATGAAAAAAATCTCCAAACATGGAATATTGCGATTACTAGATCATATTTTGTCAAAATATATTTTTATAACAAGATAATATATATGATAATAGTAAAAATATAATTATTTCAAATTTTTAAAGATAGTTGCGCTTTTTTCCGATCAGGAGACACCACTATTCTATGCGATTCGCATTACATTTGATAGATGGCGCTACGTTAAAAATCTAAGTCACTAGCAGCCAACTTTAGTTCGGAGTCGTATACTGCAGTTTACCCGTCGTATACTGCAGTTTTACCAGAGATGAGTAGGGAGATTACCAATGGGCCGATATTCTTGAAATCAATTTATTTTAGAGTAAACGCGCCACCTGAGCGGAGGGCCGTTGAACCATACCCACGTGTTTTGATTGGTCGAGTATATATAGATATACTATGCGTGATATTCGTGAGCTCCGTGAGACATATGGATTATACCGGGTGGCACTGTAAAGCGTGTGTTTTCTATTGTCGATGCGTCACCTGGACGGAGAAGCTTCGAACCATACCCACGTGTTTTGATTGGTCGAGTATATATAGATATACTATGCGTGATATTCGTGAGCTCCGTGAGACATATGGATTATACCGGGTGGCACTGTAAAGCGTGTGTTTTCTATTGTCGATGCGTCACCTGGACGGAGAAGCTTCGAACCATACCCACGTTTTTGATTGGTCAAGCGTATGTATCAGAGTACTCTAAGCAAACTCCAAACGTGTATAACAACTGAAATACAGTTTTCCCAATCTGTACGTCACGGTAGCTAAATATCATACGTGCATGGTAACGAGTCAACGTGCGAGAGTCTCGAGTTCGAGACCCGATTGTTATTACTTTTTTTTATTCATGAACAATGCTTATTGAATCTATTGATTAACTTGGAATGTAGCAAATGCATGATTATATTATACTATATAAACTTTATTATATTATACAGTCGTGTCTATTTTTATGCCGTTGATACGTTCCACAGAAAACAGCATATAAAAAATATAAGTAAAGTAGAAGAAGGAACCCGCAATTTTCATGAACCCTCAAAACCGCATTAAAAAGCCACCTGCAAATGGATTTTACCCATTTAAATTCTATATGTAGATATGCATGTATTCCGCATATAAAGATCGCGAGGCACAGAATACATGGGTATGTCCAGTCTATTGACATATAGTGTGGACTACGCGATCCCTACCTTAGATCCTTTTAAAAAGTGTCCGCTCAAATAAACAAAGACGAAATAAGGTGAAAAGACGGAAAGGAGAACAATTGGCCGCCACCTTATTTCGTCTTTGTTTATTTGAGCGGACACTTTTTAAAAGGATCTAAGGTAGGGATCGCGTAGTCCACACTATATGTCAATAGACTGGACATACCAATGTATTCTGTGCCTCGCGATCTTTATATGCGGAATATATGTATATTTACATACTCTGTGCCTCGCGATCTTTATGCACGTTGACTCGTTACCATGCACGTATGATATTTAGTTACCGTGACGTACA